CTTGAATGTGTTCATTTTATTTACAGTCCCATATTGATAACGATGTTTATCAATAATATGACAAATGAAACCTCAAATATGTATCAAACACTTGAATACAAAGAGGAATTTTTATTTCTAGCTCATAATATTACTTTTCTTTATTTAGTCATCCTGCTGTAGCTCTGTTACATCCTCTTAAATGGAATCAGGGAAACAATCGGCTCTACGCAAAATATGAAATATCTGATTTCGCTATCTACACTAGGCAATGTTAATGAAAAAAATTACAAAATCTGAGATACTTGATTTTTTTAATGAGAAAAATAAGCATAGAGACTCGTCCGCCCCGGGGGTTACAAGCGGGTATAGTAAAACTCCTACTTACTAAAAATACCAAGATGTCCCTCGTTTAACTTCACATACCAGGGTCACGGGATCGCGATAACAGTCCACCGCGACTCCGATTCCGAAAGTAAAGAAAACATCCCGAAAGGATAATCTAAAACTCCTCCTAGTAGGGTACTACGAGAGGTTTTAGATTATGTGATACTTCATTTCAATTTTAGTATTAAAACACGAAAAATTTTAATCACTAAAATGTGACCAACAACGACAGGCAAGAGGTAAAAGTTCCTAAAATTGGAGTGATGTATTTTGTAGTAATTGTCATGATTCCCTCGCTTGTTAAGCATATCCTAATACAAACCAGTTTTACTACGGTTTATACATACCTATTTAGTTATCGTATTTTGCTTAAACTCTTCTTTCATTTTCTTGGACAAATAAATAAATACGTAAAGCTACAGATAAACTAACAACAGAAACCCCTAATCATCCAGTTTTAGAATATTGATGTTAGCGCGTACAATTCTAAAAATAACTGATCCGGGGTCCCTTCCATTGTACACAGGCTGGTTAATATTGGAGAAAAATCCCTTCGACATTATTTGTCAAAATTTTCGGGTAAAGATTTCATTATTTTGTTTCAGTCGTTAACATTGTACGCCTACTAATTGATCTTACTTTATAATTACGACATTTAAATGTACAAACAAGGCATATAAAGGTATTATAGAATGATTATGGAATGGTACGCCCGCTTGTGCTAATGGTATATGTGAAGAGTGTACCAATGGTAGATGATATGTGAATGAATCGTGGCGAATTCACAAGGAACTGTTTCAACTGACTGATGCAATTTCATCATCAATCTTAGAACCGTGAGTACCAACACTTAAGAAATGGAACATAACCTATTATAAAATTCTCATAAATAACACCAAATCAACGTATATACGGTATTTAGTATTTTATTTAAAAAAACTAATCCCAGTAACTGAACCCCGGGATAGCACGCTATCTGAAAGGACTTTAAGAATTTAATATTCTCATTCGACATTTACTCCCGTCTCTATTCCACAAACGGCGTATCGTATTTGTCATAATATCTCAGAACTGCTCTATCCCCTTCCAAATGCTGGGATATTGCTGTACTGAGTGCTTCTATCAGTTCCACCGTCGACTTGCTTATTGGTATTTCCCGGATGAACCCGAAAAAAGAAGAACGTTCCGTTTCCATTATTTGTGACAGCTATAACAAATTAAAATTTAATAGTTCAAAATAAATAATATTTAGGTGTAATAAACCACTTACCATTTTAATTAAACACTCTATAATTATGCCCTCATAATTAATAAACTTATTTGCAGATAGTATAAAAAATCGCATGCCGTTCCTTCCGGAGGACATGCCTCCAAATCCTGTAATTTTACTGCCTTATCTCACCTTTCAACCAAGCTACTTGGTGTCTTAACTGAGTGAGACGGATGATTTTGCACAAAGTCGACTTCGGTATCGGAATTAAACACTTAACTGCAATCTATATGAAGCTGACTGTACTTCCCTTACTATTACATTAAACGTTATACACAGTTGCGTTAAAGTTTAAGCACAAAAAGCATTATCATCCGTTGTCCCCATAAGTACATAGTACGTACCTATAATTCGTCTCGAACTTTGCAATTTGCCCCAAATTAATGTGATGTGGGTAGACAGTTATGCAAAGATAAAAAGCAAATTCTTGTCATTCTCAACATTAAGCATGAGTGAAAACTTTTCTTAGTATATAAATAAATATTAGTCTTTTGATTTATTGACGAAATAGTTAAGTTTTTTTACGGATGATGATGGATGATGGAATGTTCCAGCCGCCTGCCCTGACGTTACATGCTTTCAGTGCACCAGTGAGGGATGATAGGATCAACATGGTGTTAGTTTAGTTAATTCATCAAAAGTGTGATGTGATTATTTTGATGTGAGATAGCTTGGATGTCGACCTAACATGGTGTATTATTAGCAATGATGTCAATAAGGGAAATATTACAGACCTATATTACTAACAAAGGATTGTTACAAGCAGGAGCCTATTAGGCTTCCAGTTAAAGTAAAAGTTAGTCTATTCTGATTCCGTACCAATCACTTTTTAATTTTATGCATAAGTAACTTCTGTATATCTTTACATTTCTGTTACAACCAGAGATGATTATCTCGTCTAAAACTACCATACCATACATGAATTCAGAATTTACCGAACTTCAAATAACTTTCAGAACTGTATTATTATTAGACAGCCTCGGTGATCTAGTGGTTTAGCACACCGCTTTACTATCCGATGGTCGTGGGTTCGATTCCTCTCACGGTACAAACATTTGTATTTATGAGTATAATTGTTTGCATTGATCTGGGTGTTTTCTATGTATATTATGTATGTATTTACAAAAAAAATGTATCCATGTATTTATATCAGTTGTCTAGTACAAGTAGTAGTCCCATAACACAAGCTCTGCTTAGCTTGGGCCTAGATGGCGCTGTGTGAATTGTCCTGAAATATTATTATTATTATTATGAATAGTTTAATACGCCACCTACTATTTTATTAATTAATAATAATAAACCTAGGACACAGTGCCATCTAATACCAAACTAAACAGAACATGTGTTATAGGTACTACAACACTGATATAAATATTTATATATATTTTTTGCAAATACATATATAATATACGTAGAAAACACGCAGAAGTAAGCATTCAATTTTACCATTACGCCCTATTATATAAGTAAAATTTGTTTTATGTATCTAGTATCGCCAAAGCTGTTGGAAGAGGTCTTCAAGCATCTGGACTGGAGCGGGCTGGGTTAACATTAACGGCGAGTACATCAATCATCTTCGATTTGCCGACGATGTCGTGATCATGGCTGAGACCCTGGAAGACCTTAGCAATATGCTCGACGAAGAACTCAGTAAAGTCTCACAAGGAGTAAGTCTTAAAATGAACATGGACAAGACGAAAATCATGTCAAACACCCATGTCGTACCTGCTCCCGTAAAAATAGAGGATTTTACACTCGAAATTGTAGATGACTATGTATACTTAGGGCAAACTATCCAGCTAGGTAAGTCCAATTTTGAGAAAGAGGTCAATCGTCGAATCCAAAAAAGATCGACGCGTTCGGGGAGCTCCAATATATCTTTTCGTCCAAATTAAGTCACACTAGAGAAAGCGAGTCTCAAGAGGTATGACTATCAAAACAACCAAACTACATCAATAAAAAAATATATCAATACGTACCGCAATACCTGAGTTTTCGTATATGATATAAATAATAATGTTACACTTTATTGTGTTAAGAAATATAGCTGTCATTTTCGTATTACATTATCAAATACTGATTGCCATGCGAAGGCGTGCATTTCAAGATGTTTCTTGTTTCAAGTAATAATAATAGTTTGAACATAAATATTTGATGTTTTAAATATTATTGTATATTACTTGTTTCACAATATTGAATTTTATAGTTACATTCGTTTAATAGCAATAGATTTTTGACGATGTATTTTATATAAAAATATATTTTATCTGAAAATACTGTACTAATGGTCAGTGCATAATATATCATTGTGAAGCCCGATATGTGTGAAATTCTTACTCATTAAAAACCACGTGGTGTACCTACACGCTGACGATGGACCATTAAGCCCTATGGCTAGTGTGCCTACACTTGTAATATTTCTCTCAACACTCAAGAGCTGCAGATCACATACTTTTTCATATAGTTAAGTGTAACGTCAGTCCACGTCCTGACTCCGCGGCGAATGTACTACTAATAAGCCATGTAGCACCCTACCAAATAAACTTATTATTGTACCTACAATATTTAGTCCAATTATTTCACCTGTATGCTCACTACCCACATATAATACTACAATAAAATATAAATTATGTAGTGACACCTCATCACATATACACCGTGTGGCAGTGGTGAGGTGATAACCACCCGCTACATAAGCAACATCTTTGTGTTCAGCCAGATAATACTATTAGCGGAGGTGCACCATTCCTTTATCATCCTATTAAAAACATTTACGAAACGCATGTTTTTTTCTAACAATATTTCTAAAAATTCAGGTATTCATACCAAATTAAACTAGACAAAATTACATTCAATTGTTCAGTACGAAAGAAAAACAAATATTTGACCTTAAGAATAATGTATTAAATTATAAAATTCATAAACAATATACAGTAAATCACAGTACCACTTATTTTCAAGGCAAGGCCTCCATGGTATGATAATATCATGTCTTGAAAATTAGTATATCTTTACATATAATCATTACATAGAAGAATATTTTTAAATTTGATGTGGCGACAACTGTCTGTTTGTCTGTTTATTTGTGTGTGCGTTAAGGTTTCACATAAAAACGGCATGTGAACATTGGATGAAAGTTTCACTGGATACATTGTTAAAATGTTAAATATGGATCAACTTGCAAAGGGATGAAATAATAAATTTATAAATAGTTTTAATATGCCACTTTCTTTTTTATTCATTAATAGTAATAATACCCTTAAACAATAGACATGATGACGCTAACTAAGAATGAGCGAAATTACGATTTCACGTAAATTTCTCATATATAAACAATAAAACAGTATAAATAAAAGTGAAAATTATGACTTATTTTATATAAAGATAGATTGTAGGAACGTCGTGGAGAGTTTTTTTTAAATCAGTCATCATGCCTATTCACTCAATGTCATCTAGTCCCAAGCGAGAAAAACTTGTATTATGGGTACTAGAGAACTGATATAAATACTTATACATTTTTTTTAAATACATGTATAATATACATAGAAAACATCCAGAACGGTACAAACAATCATCCTCATGAATACAAATCTTTGCAGCGTGCGAGGAATCAAACCCGCGACCATCGGAAGTAGAGTGGTATGTTAAACCGCTGGACCACCAAGGCCGTCATGAGTTCGTTTATTAATAAACTGATAGATGGCGTTTAAAAATGTACGTGCGAAGTCAGGCAACACTAGTAATAAAATGCATACTAAAAACTGAGACGTGACCACTACTATCCCTTGACAGTGACCAGTGTGTTGGCATACTGGAACTCTGGACTGTTTTCATACTCGGACATATCGAGAGCTACCTCACAACTCTCGCGTACCACGGGACGTGGGTCGTTCAAATACCTGCAAGTAAGAAAAAAACAATTTCTAATCATAACATGGATTAAATTTGACAATAAAATCAAAAACAATCTGACTAAGATCTGGACAGTTTTTTTAAGAAACAAAGAAATTGAAAAATTGTTCATTTAGTGTTCTATGCAAATATGCAGCTGGTTTTTAGTAGCACCAGTATGATTAGAGAGAGAGGGCACCACTTTAAAATATTAATAGTAATAAATGACACATGAGCGAACGACAATAGAACAACAACAATAGAACAACAACCAAATATAAAGAATTTACTAGTATTACAATAGTATTTATAGTACTGGTAGACTTTGTATGAAGCCTTCTGAGTGGGTACTTTTGCATCACATATTTTAGCCGCTAAGTAACTTACTTTGTAAGATGTGTTTGAGTTGAAGTAGTCATCCTTCTATTGAAACCGAAACACATGTTAAGGCCTGTAAAATTACATGACCTAGAACTCTAGAGGCATGTCATCTTAATCCTCCATAATAGAGTATCAGGAGGAACAAATGATAAAGGTGATGGTTACCACTGACCATCAGGTGGATCAATGAATGTTTACTATTCCAATCATAAAAAAAGGATGCATTATACTATAAATGTGTATATAAACCTTGTATCACATTTGAAACTCAATGATAATTAATGATTTGACAGATTACAATGAGATTTCATATACAAAGAGATTATATATATCCTACATTATTTAGGATAAAGCCTGTCATAATTGAGACTTATTAAATACTTGTCTTCATATTTGAAGGGGATACAGCTGCAAAATGCTACTAGTATATAAATAAAATATTTTAACCTTTTTAGCACTTCTGTGCATTCTTCAGTAGCGATGGAGCCCAAGGCTTCTGCAGCCTCATGCCGCACCATCTCATGTTCAGATGTATCTTCTAATGTCTTCTTCAGGTAGGGTATGCTCCTTTCATCCTGCATTTGTCCAAAAACAAATGCCACCTCATGACGAAATAGTGCACTACTGGCTTTGAAACCTGAAATGTAATAGTGACATTTATGATTTAAGTAAATTAAATTAACTTCAAATCTTATTTAAAAAATACTTTGAAGGAATCAATAAGAAAAAAGATGATTTTTTAAAAAGTAAACACTTATATTGTCAGACTTACAACATACTTTTTTATGCTGATAGATTGTTTTAGTGTCACTCGCACTAATTATGTATGCTAAACCTAAAATCAAACCTAAAGCAATGCTCTCTTAATAAAGTCGTAAAGGCTAAACTAGAAGAGAGCAGTCTCTAACTCTAAATCTCTAACATATGTATAACCCTTTTCTGCATCTCACTCTAAAAACAGTCCATGCAAGCAAATCTAATTGGTAGTAAAAATAAATTACTTGCCATAACAAGTAAATTTTTGTCATGTGAAATAAAAGTAAAATATCATACCTTCGCCTAATGCATTGATACTGTCAGTAGTCGCCATATTCCTCAAACTAAACATAGCCCTATATCTTTCATACAAAGGTTTATTTTCATCCATTAGAATTTTGGTTAATCTCTGTACATCATTGTCACTGCTTGGTGGTGCTGGATCCACTGAACAATATGGACTTTTAGATAGACTTTCCTTGCTGGAGTCATTAGCAACCCAATTAAGTCTCTCTAGAGCTATTTGGCATGTTTCAGCTACTTCTATTGCTGGGTCAGTTATGTATTTCTCAAGTAATTCTCGTAGATTGGGATCCCCTATAGCTCCTAGTGCTTCACCTAGAAATTAATTATTGAAACATAATTAATATTTATTGTTAATGAAAGAATTTCTTCAAAAATACATGGAATAATTTTTCAAAGTAATCTTAGAGCATTATTACATGTTAATGTATTGTAAAAAGTAAAAGAACATATGTAATAATAATTTTTGGTGGGTATCAAATGAATACAAGATTTTATTCTGTAATTAAAGCAAGTCTAATAGATATATGTAATTGAACTTATGTATCTGTAATTATAATTATGTAAATAAATTACATAATTCCATTTGTACATAAAATAAAATGTGTAGATAAACTAATTTTATTCTATGTACAAATTCAATTATGTCTATCTATTATGTGTGCTATGTGTGTATTCACAGTTAAGTAGGCTCCACTATACCATTTTTTTTATTTTCAGTGGTATTTCTAAGTGGGGTGCTGGAAAGTTATTTTATACTATTAGTAGAATAAAATCCCAATGGCACTTTAAATTAAGCTTCACACCAAGGCACTAGGGGTGTCATGTATTTCTTGTACTTAGCTACAGTAACCTATTTTAATTTTTTCGTGGATGATAATGGAATGGTCACTCGTCTGTGCATACAGTTTACGCTGACGGGGCACAAGTGGAGGATGAAAAGATGAGCATGAGGTCAGGTCAGTTTGCCCATTGTGATTAAATAACCAGTAATTAACCACAATGGTTTCCAGGGGGAACCGCATGGAGGTCGACCTAACATGGTACATTGCCAGCAATGGGAACTAGACCTCATTACTAACAAATCCCTTCCCCCTCAGTAACCTATTACTATCAGATGGATATATGTTGGGTTTCCACCGTAACATTCACACAGACACACAAACCATCACAACTTTTATCCCAAATGGAGTAGTCAGAGACACTGTCAATTTTGTTAGTGTATTGAGGCCTAGTGGTTTACTACCCTGAATTACACCCAAGAGGTAATGAGTTCAAATTTTACTGACACCAAAAGAAAAAATAAATCCTAATTATAAACACATTTAATTATGAGTTGTATTTGAAGAAATATCTAATACCTGCTTAATGCAGCGAATATTTTTTAAACATAAATATTTTATTTATATACATTAGAGGAATAAAAAGTCAAATTATGAAATTGCACATGCAAAATTAATCAAAATGTTAGTAGTATTAAAAGTAGTTATCTAATTTTATTTTTAATAATAATAAAATTATTATTAATAATAAAATCATAGTTCAATTAAGTTTATAAACTAAATATGCTTATGACGTGACTCATAGTAATTAGTATATAATTTGTAGGTTAATTGTCACGAAATTACTACATACAATTACAATTGCATTAGTATTACAACAATTTGTGAGTTCAGTTCTTATAACCTAATCAACTAATGCTTCTTAACTCGTAAAAAGGGCTTAACTTATACAGTTTTTATCAAAATTTATCAAGTACGTGATCAAAAAACATTGATAGCAAAACCTACACTTACCGGCTTCGTGACGAACTATTGGATCCTGGTTTTTGTCTTCCAATACATCCCGTAGTATAGGAATAGCTATTTTGTCTTGCATTTGTCCTAAACAGTATGCTAATTCGTGTTTTAACAACACAGATTCATCAGTAAAACACTGACTAATACATTGTATAGAAGCCTCGCCACCCAAATTTCTAAGGGTAAAAAGTGCTCTAAAACGCTCCTTCATGGGCCTCGTGGGATCATTAAGCACTTTTCCTATATTATTTATTGCAGTATCACTAACATTAGACATTTTTAAATAAATTAAACAAAACAGTAACAAGAAAACGTGAGAGGACAAACGTAATTCACATGTTATTAAACGTCAATGTCAAATCAAAGAAGAGAATGACAACGTTAGTTGACAGTTGGCACGTCAGAGGAACTCTGAATTGCCAATAACAAAATTTAAGCGTATTTACAAGTTACATACATTACCTATGTAGTATGTATAACAATACAATATTTATTTTTAATTAATAAAATTAAATTTCTACACATAAAATTCTTCCGATGTTGATGTATTTAAATATTGTACATATGTATGTCAGCAGGCCGCTTCATTAAAATAATAATTTGTAATGAATTGTGGTACTGGATAGATTATTATACGATAGACATAGGTATTCATACGTTGGTATTTACTCCATTGTTAATAACCAAATAGAATTAATATTACGGCTAGTACGATGTGTATCATTCATATACTTAAGACACTTGTTACGCACTGTATAGTGGCTAGACGAATTGATGCAATAGATAAATATCTTTAGGAATGATAATTGTATTAATTGTTATTTAATACATTACTTTAAATCAAATTAACAAAACCTGACACAATTGAACACAAATAGAGTTAAGAAAACTTGTTGAAAATATTATTTGTATCCATTACTTGATAAGCGTGTAGACATATACCGACATAAACCTACCAACTAAATTAAGATAATATAACTTAAATCAAATAGTTCATTAAGTAATTGCTTTGATAAATTACTTCAAGTATTTCTGCATTTTTTGTTCCCATCAATGTGTCTTTAAATAACTGAACAAACATACTAACAGCTCTGCCTTTCTATATATATACAATCAGTCTATTAGTAACACTTGGGCGACACTCATGTGCACTCACATATCTGTTAGTATGAGCAGTTCACATGGCCGATGTAATACTTAATTTTTGCTGTAGACTCCGTAACAAACATGTTTCAAACATAAAAACCATATTTTAATCAAGATTTATACACAAATTATTGTTTAAAAGTGACATAAACTATATGTTTACAATTATGTTCGGTAAGCGTTTTAAATTTATTACTTTAGTCTAGATAAATATTTACTTTCAACCTCGGGAGTCTACCGGTTTAGCACATCGTCTTTCTTTTTAATGTTGAAGGGTTTGATTCCCGAAATACACAACAATTAGTATATAACAGTAGGTGTATTTATTTGGTATTTTATTATTTTCGTACGTATTTTCTATCATTTAGTAAGATTCGTTCATGCCATGATCAAATTTTGCTTTTGCTCTACATACTGACGGCTTCAGTGGTCTAGTTATTTAGCACACCTAGTTACTTCCGGTGGTCGCGCATTCGATTCTTTGTAAGAGTACAAACATTTGTATTCACGAATATGATCGTTTGTATTTGTTTTGGTATATATGTTTATTATGTAGGTAAATATTTACAAAAAATATATAATTATCATTCCATTAGTACTCATAACATAAGCTTAGCTTAGTTTGGGACTACTATTTGAATTGTCCTAGATTATTACTATTACCTGATACGATAATTTTAAAAGTTAGGTACCTACAACAATTAATTTTCGACAAAAATATACTGTACTTTTGTATTTCAACTCCAAATGCGTACCTTTACGTATGTAGAGACAAAAAACGTCATGCAAACTACATACCTATATACTATACATACCCAGTTACGACTTTTCAACTCCAGACATATATAAATATATAAATTAACGCGAACGCAAAAGCTAGTATAGATATATATAATACTAGCTTTTGCGCTCGCGTTAATTTATCCCCTTAGGGGTCGAATTTAGCACAATCCTTTCTTAGCGGATACCTACGTCATAACATCTACCTGCATGCCAAATTTTTGCCCGATCCGTCCAGTGGTTTGGGCTGTGCGTTGATAGATCACTACGTCAGTCACCTTTGAGTTATATATATTTAGATATAGAAACTTTTTTAAGTCGAATACTTAACCCGCCTACACTAATGATATACTCTAGTGAGTCCACGTTGAAGCTAGAACTATACAAGACAGGAAAAAGAATGAAGTCAAATCAGTTTGTTATTTGACGTTTTTGGTTTTATTTTACTCTATATAGATAGATAATACAAATATATTAAAACTTCGTCCGAATTTCATCATATAGATAATACATGACATATATAATATTCTATGTCCATCTAAAATGAAGTATCTGACAACACTCTTGTAACTCACTTAAACAGTGGATCGTTAATAATGGGAAAAGTGACCTCAACCATGTGAGGTCGACATCTACTCCTTCCCATTGAAGCCATAGTGGTTGATAATTAATTCTGGTGAATTCTCCACGATAAGCTAATTGACCTGACTTTATCCTCTCCTTGCCATCCTCCACGCTAGAGTATACCGTTACCGCAGACACCATTCCATTATACATATTCCACCAAAAAATCATAATTTGTATCTTGCATTTACTCTATACTGTTAATATAATATGACTATTAATTTCGCAGCGTATATTCAAAGGGTTTCTTTCTTACTTGAGTTATATTAACTAAATTTCTTATTTTATTCTGCTTCATGTATATTATTAAATCCAATGGAATAAATTATCTACAATAGCAATTTAAAAGGTCTACCAAATATGTATAAATATATACCTACTTGCATATATTTATCGAATAGATACAATACAACGACACAAGCAGTAAACAAATATGAAATACGGTCAAGTAAACAAGATGTATATTTACGAGAATTTGTATCATGTAGGTACATGATTCTGTGACCTTGAATATGTATACAAAATGGTTAATGACTAGTTTTTTTGTCAGGCAACACAAAATTAAGTAATTAAATATCGGAGGTGTGTTTTTAGAGCCTGTTGGATTCATTATTTTACAGAGCGTTCGTTGTCAATTTCGTAGCGTCTTGATTACCTATCATCATCTTGTTGCACGATTTTTTAAAAAACTGACGGTAATTGATTTTAAGTGGTAACCGTCACAATAACAGCTTCACTTTATTATGTGACGGTACCTACTCAACCATTCTCTCCATACCCTGAGATTTTACTTCCTTATCTCACCGTCCAATCGAAACACATCTTACAAGAGCAATCTGCTTGGCACCTAGAAAATTAGGCGAAATAGTTTAGATAGAGGTACATTTACTACATAGGCAGACGATTTTTTTTACAAAGCCTATCTGTCTATCTCGGTAAACATTGCTTTCACGTCCCCATTACGGTAATAACATATTTTAATAACCTTTAATATTTTTTTACAGGTATTGGAGGATTTCTCAACAATTTGTGGTGGGGAGGAAACCCAGATGAGTTGCATCCGATTACAGGTCTCTCCCGTCGTGACGTGTACGCCGTGCAACGCTCATGGTCTCGGATCTACTCAGACCCTGGCAAATATGGACTAATGTTGTTCATCAAGTCAGTAAATTTTTCCAAATTATTCACTTTTATTAGCTTCTAACGATATATAAACATGAAAACAAAATATACTTTACTACGTCGATCAAATTCCGATGGCCGAGGGTTTTATTCCTCGCAGTGGAAACATTTGGCTTTATGAATATGATTGTTTATATCAGTCTGAGTATTTTCTATTCTACATTATATATATATGTATTTACAATAAATAAATATACATTATATATACAGTATTTATTTCAGTTGTCTAGTAGCAAGCTCTGTTTAGATGAAGACTATGTAGTCATCTGACGTTGTGTGGATTTTACTGGGTTATTATTATTATTCAAATACACGTCCTAATTCGGGCTAAATTTTGAGCTAAATTTACACAATATGCAAGCATGTATTTTTTATTACATTTCGAAGTCTTAAGGGTACGTAGTATTAAGGGTTGAGTAATTTTGTACAAAGCCATCGGCGTAGAAATACATTAAAATCTTATCGACTATGGATATGTATAGGTCTGTATATTAACTTCAAAAAGGGGAAGGCAAAGATTCAATCAATGAGGTCGCCATAAAAACAGCCTTCACTCCGATCGAAGGTACCTTAAGAAGACATTAAAAAAACTTAAAAATTGTTTTTATTTTTGATAAAACTAAAAGATGACCTGTAAAGCTATTCTGTAAGCATCACTTACGAATTCGAAGGCGGATTCGGTGGTGAGATTGTACATTGGTATTAAATTCGATAGTGAGTGCAGTGCCATACACGCTCAAGAGCGGGATGGAGGTAAAACAAACACTAGTGTTTTTTAGAAATGTAAGCAGATTCGATAGCACAGTAAGAACTTTATATTTGACAAGTGAATACAAGTGCCTTGAGTGCCTTCAGTGCGACGGGAGCACCATACCATCCATAACATATAATACAAAACCCTAAATATATTTTCACAGGCTATTCAGAGCAGATCCTGAAACAAAATCATTCTTCAAAACCATCCGAAATATGGGAGAAGAGGAACTTTCTAACAGTTTTCAGTTCAGAGCTCACGCAATCAATTTGATGACCTCCATTAACGCTGCGGTTGTCAGCCTCCATCAGCCTGAGGTAGTGATTATACTCATGAATAAATTGGGCGAATCCCACCATAAGAGACATGTGGAAGCAAAACATTTTGAGGTGAGCTCTATAACAAGCTACTCATTTATTGTATACGAACTCATGGATACATGAAACTGAATTTCTGAATAGTATTCATAAGACTTCACAATTTTCCCGAGGAAATATTATACAGAATACTGAAAATTAATTTAGAAGTTCTTGGGGCAATGTTTACAGTTTAATTTCATGTTTCATAAGCCTTTTCATAATCATTTTTCTGTTAATAAAATCCTTACATAAACCACCCAGATTTTTTTTAATTTAGTATATTTATTTAGATTTTAAAATAATTAAAATAACTTTTCAGTTCATAAAGACATAAATATAATAACAGTAAATGAAAATATAATATATTTATTTATTTTTATAGAAATTGGCAAATTGAAAGCGAATTGAAATAATACAATATTTTGTCTAGAAATTATTATTTGAATAAATAAATACCTACTTGTTTAGCTATAATGCGTTTACATTTTGTATAACAAAACAGAATATTAAGTATTGTTATATTTTTTTTACATAATATAAGATACCTAATCTAAGTAATTGTTTTTTTGCAGGAGGTGAAGGCCGTGTTAGTAGATATATTGAAGACAGAATTGAAAGCTAACCAATCCCTCATAGAGTCATGGGGAAAATTTGTGGATTTTATTTACAAACATATATTTGAGAAATTATGCGATGAACCAGACTGACATTGTGTGCAAACTAAATTATATAGAGTACATAGATGCTGTGATGTGTTTTAGTTTTACTTAAGAAACATACAAGTAATATAATATAAAGCACGAGAAAGAAATGAAAATAGATTATTTAAGAACAAAACCAAACGTAGAAAATAAACTATTTTATATTTAATTAGTTTCATTAAAAAACGAATTTCGTCAATTGTACTAAATATATTTTAAAGGACAATCAATTATTTGTAATTTACATTATATTATTTTATTAAAGATGGTATGATAAAATACAGTAACAACGCCAAAAATATTACACCACTCCTTTTCATTCCCAGTATATTGATTATATATTTGAGAACAAAATACTAGGATTAAAATAATTTAATCCTAGTATTTTATATATCGCACATCCCGTGTAAAAAGGCCGCAACTACACTTGCGTCAAAAATGTTTTATTACATAAATAAAGCGAGCTTCACGGTTTACACCTTCTGTCAAAATCTCATGAAGCTATCGACAAAAATGAAGGAATAAATGCAAAAATACTAAAATTTTGCGACTTTAGAAAACATAAAATTCCAGCATAAAATAGAGGTATGCGTATTTGCATTTATTCGCTTTACAATTATCCCGTTCATAAAGTCATAATTGTATTTACGTAAATTTTAAAAGAAGATTTACAAAAAAATGTTTAACGCAAATATACTTAAATACTTGTTCCTATATCTTACAATCTAGGACTATTGTGTAATTCTAATTACTTACTTCTTCTACGAAACTTTTAGCTGATAGTTTATGTGTGATTATTGTTACATACTTTCCCCCCAGCAAAACTTCACAATGCCTAAAGTGTAGTTGTAGTTACTTCTTTATTACACGTAACATTTTATACCTGATGTTGGGTAATTTTAAATACAGCATGTATTTACAAGAAAAAAAAAAAAAGAATATGTTCATGTAATTAAAATTAAGTAAAAAAATAAACTACATATTTTTAGCTAATTGTATAAGCTGACGGGCACCAATGATGGATGATAGGAGGAGCAGGAGATCAGATGAATTTGCCAGGAATAGTAATAATAAATGATAGAAAAATCGATCTGCTTTTAGACATTTATCATAAAAGAGCGAATTGACAGAAATGAAGATAAAAAGAATACTTCTACTTTAAATATGGATAAACGAATATACAATTGCCAGTGAATCTTATTGTAGGTCTAACAGGAATTAACTAACGATGGTTTCCAGGATGGACCGCGTGGAACTAAATGTACCTTATATTGCTAGCAATAATATTCAATATTAATTCCCACTGAATAGGTACACATACAATACTAGCTGGTCCCGCAAACGTTACTTTGTTATAAATTACTAGCTGTGCTCGCGTTAAATTTCAATAAAAAATATATCCTGTGTTTTTCAGATGCATAAGCTATATTAGTGTAAAGTTTAGTAAAAATCTATTCAGTAGTTTTTGCGTGAAAGAGCAACAAAAATCCATACTTACAAACTTTCACGTTTAGAATATTATATTAAGATTAAGATTTCTGAAAACTATTAAAGTACTAATCATCATAATTTCAACTTGTGTCTATCCACAGTTGGATATAGGCCTGTCCCAATTTGGCTTTGGTGATCTAGCGGTTAAGCACACCGATTTACTTCCAATGGTCGCGGGTTCGATTCCTCGGACGGTGCAGATATTTGTATTCATGAGTAAGATTGTTTGTGTGGGTCTGGGTGTTTTCTATGTATATGTTTCATGTATGTATATAAAATCTAAGTATTTATTGATATAAAGCTCTTCATACCGTGTGACTAGAAGGCGCTGTTAATTGTTGAGTATTATTTATTTATTTCCCAATTTCTTACACCATGTGCGATCTTCCGCCTTTTGTTTCCATCGACTCCCGGTCACCTTCGTGATATCTTCGGTTCATCTTGCAGGAAGGCGCCGGACACTCCTTAACTTATATTACAACTAATATCGCTATTAAAATGTAGGAGTTGATGGTAGAAGGAGGAAATGTAGGAGTTCGATGTATGTATTATTATGATTTTTTTATGATTCAGTTAACGATGAAGGTGGTCCAAATCTAGAAGGTTGTCGATAACATACTAATAGATCAATCAAAATAAGAAGTAAACCTAAAATGTGATTGATCAAATTAATATGTTTCCACATAAAGAATCGCATTATCTCCGCAATCTAACAATGATAAATTCTAGATGAAAAGCATAATTGCGCTAAAATGCATCGTTTATACTTATAGTGCATTAAGAAAAACCCAGATTATGAAAATGTTACTCCAGCCTCTCAGAGATGGTACTATAATATTAGGTCCTTACATATGAAATTGGTGTTTTGTCGTACTGGCCACTTTGATCTCAAATATCTCCTCTTTCGCCAGGAATTCAAAGTTCAAATTTGTACAGTTATTTACTCATGCATTTGTTTTTCGAAAACCGTAATCCATATGTTTTTTCCATCTTTGGTTTTTTCTTTACGTCACTGAGTTTACAAAATGGAAAACATAAAATATCACGTTTTTTAAGAGTACGAATTCCGTCGTGGCACCAGTGTGCAGAAACGATTCGAAGAATTAATGATGTGTATGGCGATGGTGTCGCAAAAGAAAACACAGTGCGTTTTTGGTTCCAATGTTTTCGTTCTGGAAATTTCGATCTGCAAAACAAGCCCCGTGAGCAGCCAGAGTCCAAGGTTGATAATGAAGAATTAAAGGCTAATGTGGAAGCGGATCCATCGCTAACCACGTCCGAGTTAACTGCAGGCTGCAGTGTTAGTAACAAAACTGTTTTAATCCACTTGAGGCAAATTGGGAAGGTGAAAAAAGCTTGAAAAGATCATGAATTGAATGGAGCAAATCGACAAACGCGCGTAGACTGCTGCGTTATTAGCCAACCGGCATAATAATGAAGGGATTTTAAATCGGATTATTACCTGTTATGAAAAGTGGATCTTGTACGATAAACGGAAACACTCATCGCAATGGCTGAATCCTAGCAAACTAACCAAATCCTGCCCCAAGCGAAAATTCAAACTCAAAAAAAGTTACTTGTGAGCACTTAGTGGACTAGTGTCTGTGTTGTTCACTTCAGCTTTCTTATATCTGGCCAGAATATTACGGCAGATGTGTATTGTCAGCAATTGCAAACCATGATGAAAAAGCTAGCTGCTAAACAACCGAGACTGGTCAATCACCGTAGGCCACTGCTGCTTCAGGACAACGTTACGAAATTAGAAGAGCTTCAAATGTCCAATATATCCACCGTACTTCCCGGATCTTGCTTTTTTTCAAAATTTGGATAACTTCTTGCAAAGGAAAAAATTCAAGTCCGATTTATCGATACCCATCCTAATGGTTTTTTAGTAAAGGGATCAATAAAACTACCTATCAAATGGCAAAAGTGCATGAATAGCAATGGACCATATTTTGATTAAATAAATGTGTTATATTTTGAAAAATCAACTGAAATTGGCGTTTTACTTTTCTTTTTCTTACAAATTTTATATGTTAGGACAATTTGATATTTACTACACGAGTTGGAGTCAAATTAAAGAGATTTCGGCAGATCCTCAATGTCCGGGGAAATTCCAAATAAAATACGCATTCGCTGATGAGACACCAAATAATAGACAAATAGAAGGGGAAGAGTTATGAGAAAAAAAGAGCTGCACACAGCGAACCTTCTGAAATCAAGCATTAGTATGATGCACCGCTACCGATACCTAAAATATATACAAAGACTTCATGAATCTATATAAAGATAAAAACATACCACCACACTATCGACATTTTATAAGAACTTAAGTACTAAATCTAAGACTAAACTAAACTAAACCACAGAGTCCGATTCCAAAGTTGAGGATAATGAACATTAATAAAAATAATAAAAGATATCACTATTTTGAACATTTTTTGATTAAGTTGATTATGGAGGCAATAAACATTTCTTTAAAAATAATAATAAATTAATAATAACCCTGCTTGTTTTAATATTCTCTAAATTAATTTGACCCTATATTTATACTTTTGACTTACATGCACGCACATAATAGACTATTTACTGTAAGAAGTAGGTATTACATGATACAAATTAAATATTCAGTTACTTTCCGCATTATAAAAGCTATTTTTATAAATACACTAACTAAACTAAAATAAATGGCTCCCTAGAAATACGTAACTCGATGTACAAAAAATGATATTTCGTTAAATAACAACGTAATTATACTTGCAATTCTAGATTTTAATGAAATATAGGAGAGTATAAAGGCGTAAGTAGAGTTAAATTTGTTCATATATTTCAAAATACATAACAATAAAGCAATAATTGTAGTTAACCCTGCAAATGTTCTTTGTGTTTCGTGGAATATAGAAGTAACCGTGTTTTTTTAGATTATCTGGAAGTACATGAAGCTGTTCCTAAATTAAATGACACATGTAGTTGAAGGCAACTGTGACCTACGATTTTCTCTTTGAAACTTATTTCTAGAACTCATACAAAAAATATAGGACAGTTTTTTTAAGCTCCTGAAAAGTTGGTGAAAATCACTTACTTCCTTTTTCCACGAATGGTGCGATATATCCTCCTAATAATAGGAGGATATATGTTCACTTAACTGAATATGAATTTCGCTATTCAATAATAGATTCATGGCATTGCGTACTACATGGTCAGTGGGCTGATGATGATGATGATGATAATGTTAATTGAGTAATACGATAATACAGTAAGTACATGTACGCCGAAGAATATATTTGTAATGTAATTGAGTGACAGCTTTTATATAATATAAAGATTTATTTATTACTTATTTTCAAATTTGTGTAATATTTATTTTCTCTAAATGGCAAACAAGCTGTGGGCCTACCAGGTAAACAATAAGGATCGCATGAGCGGTAACACAGATATCACGTTAACATGTGACGTTCGTTGTAGCATTCGTGCATTCCCATTCCTGAGGAGTAACGTGCCTTATTTACCTATATAACAATACATATTTATAAAATAATAATATCTCTAAATAATACATACAACGCCTACAATATATTTATTTACTATACGACAATGAAAACTACCGGTACTGCTGCACCGATTTGAGAAATGCTAGCAATGTTTAAAAGGTACATTATTCCTGAGCAATATGAGCTATAATCGTACTATCTGTTATATAGCTGCTATCCGGGACTTAGTCTGACTGTTTTATATAAAAGTTGACCTA